CCCTCTCCTTCCCCCTCATTGCCCGCTTTCAAATTCTTTTTCCAACTCGTTCCCTCCTCTATTGCCTCCATCGGCCTCTCTTTGCGCTTCCTCCCTTCCACATACCCTCGCGCCTTACTGCATCTTCCTCATCCCGAAAACCCCCTTGCTCCCTCGACAACAATCCCCCAGAACGCCAAAAAAGAGGATTTTCTCGGAAAGCCTGGAGTGCACATCCCTTCCTGACCCACAAATCGAAATCGTGAGGACCTTTCTCGTTCCCTCCCGACACGTACCTCGCGGCATTTTCGGCAGAGCCAGAAGATGTCGTCCTCCGCCAGGTTCACCTCGGTACCAGGCCTGGCGTCCTTCACTGCCAGAAGCTCCCCCAGTAGCCTGTCAACGATGTCTGCTTCCACTTCGGCAATGCGAGGATGTGATTGATTTGGCACGTGAGAGGGGGGGAGCGGGATGGCAGGAGCCGCCATGGTGGGAAGCGAGGAAGAAGCGGACGACACGATGAAAATGGACGAAGATTCCGTGCCTCTAGAACTTATTCTGCTGGTCTTGCTGATGATTGTGTCGGTTTTTATGGTGGACAACATCGGGGGGACATGCGGCTGCGGAAAAAAAAGGAAAACCAGATTGGAAAGATCTCTCTCTCCCAGTTTCCCGAGATTCAAGGACGCACAAAAGACGCCAAAACCACAGATGAGGGCGCAACAACAATTCCTCCCCAGGCCAGTGCAACGCCAATCGCCTCCACGCCTGCGTAGTGAGGGTATGAAAGGTGAAGGTGAAGGTGCGTTCATTGTGTACGACCTCGACGACTCGTTCAATGTCGTCATCGCTACAGCCTCTCGGAAAAACAAGTTGCTGGCGTTAAGCGACTGCACTGCCCTTTTTTTAGCGGAGGGCGTTTTTTAGAAGCCTACCTTTACATCCCACCACCCGAGACGTAGAGTACCCTCACTGTCTTAGGTACTGTCTTTTTAGATGCGTGACTGACGTCGGTGCTGTGGATAAGGTGGAGATTGTGGGAGTTGCTAGAACAGAAAGTATCAGGGAGGGGCATTTTCATCGGGGTGGTTCGATAAACGATTATGGCGCTTTGAACGCAAAAAGAGTTTTCCTGGGAGATCGTGGTGGTTCCAAAAAGCAATTTCAAATCTAGAGCTAGTCGAGTCATATCTGCGGCCCCAACAGAAGCGTTTGATCGACTTTGCAGCGGCCTGTCCGCTAAACGATTTTTCCTTCGCAATTTATTTCCGCGTGGCGTTTGATTCCACAACGCAGCAGTTGTGATTAGGTATACAACAGTTGGACACCAACATCTTATTACATTTTGCAAGCGGGTGATTGAAGCATTGTGAGTACGTGAATGCTATTGCTCATAAACGCCATCTATTCAGAATTTCGTACTTAGAGTTCAATGTCATCCTCAAAAACCCCGACGAAAGTTACTCCGTTTGTGTCAATTTATGTATTTAATTTACAGCAGGGTGACTGAATATGGTTAAAAGATAGGTTATGCGCTTTCCCTTTGCACTGTAAAGTATGTGGGATCTAAATGGTGCGCAATTTGTTTATTTATTGTCATGGCACCAATGAGGTGGTGCCCAAAGTGGTATGTATAGGCTAGTACCAACATCGCGTTTCCGTCCCTGTCACGATTTCAAACCTGGCAAAAATTTGCTGTTCAACAATTGTTGGTAGCGTTTTCTGGAAGAAATCCCCAGGCGTTTGAAACTGCGCTTTAGCAATCTTTCGCTCGGCGTTTACTCGGGGGCATCTCTTCGGCCCATTTGATGGTTGCTTCTTTTTCGTGCAATACCTCACCACATTTTTACATTTTAAAGATCACGTCACTCCAGGCCCAATCCTCCCTCTCTTCTCCTCACCCTGCAATGCGGACGCCACCCCTTTTTCCAGGACCTCATTCATCTCTTCTCCCTTCCAAGGACCTTACCAGGCGTGTCACATGGATAAAGATATTTATAATCGACCGCGAGGTCCAACGTGGAAGGAAACCAGGCAGAGCCTTGCCGCCGGCACAGTCTTCGCTTGCCTGGAGCTGCGCCTCCTTACCCTCCCTCCTCCCCCGCCCTTCCCCTTGCTGCTGTCGCTGCTTTCGCCAGTGCTGCTGCACTTCCTTGCTGCTTGCAAACGGTTGTAAAATGTGCATTTAGCCGGACGAGAACATCATAAGGTGGCATTTTTTCACCTTGTCCTCTTGTCCTCCCTCCCTCCCTCCCTCTCTCTCTCTCCTCCCTCCCTTCCTCGCGTTTCTTCCTCCCTTGCCTTGCGACCCCCGCAACAGCCCTGCCATACCCCGCCCCTCCCTCCCTTCCTCCCTCATGCCTTTACCTGACTCTCCTGATCGCGCCCCTCGCCCACGTCTCAGTCGTGCGAGCAACCACTTGCCCCACAGCCACCACATCCGCTCGTGTCGGCCTCTGTTGAGAGAAAGCTACCCGGATTTTGAGGGC